GCGCGCCTTTTCCCTACACCGTGGTACACGACTTTCCAATAAATCCAACAGGTGTCAACGCGGTCACTTGCGCATATACCTGGAGCAAGTTCTACATGCACCGGTGGCTTAAGGAAAAAAACCGATTTACGTCGTGATGTTGCACAATTTCTGCTGATATCCTTTTTCCCCTATAGGGACGGACACAAATGTTCCCCTTTGGACTCCTCAATTGACAAGTGTGCTGGGGCGAATTGGTCTTTTCTTTCTCTTGCCAGTCAAAGGTAGGCCCGCCAGTAAAAGATAAAACGTTCTCTTCGATCTGAAGATCGACTCATCGATTTAGCTTCGTGCATACACTTGAGTAAATCGATGAGTCGGTGTAATCCACGCTGCCGCGATGAGCCTTTGGGTGCTAGGAGGGAGGAAAAGATGGAGGACCTCTGCTATCGCAGGTCTCGGGGCCGATTCAATTAATTGATTGCGTTTTCAGAGGCGCATCGTAAACTTATTCAAGGCGCATGCGCGAATAAAGATATGAATTAAACTACTGCCGTAGCATCAAGTGACTCAAGCGCTGTGGCGTCTTTCCGTAACACAGTGGAGATTTTAATGCTTGCTACTTTTTATGCGCGCCTGCTGCCGAGTTGACGAGTCGATATCATGTATTTGAGTCACACTGGGGGAAAAAAACACATTGGATCTGGAGTCCAGACTCTTAAAAACATCGACAAGAAATCAGAATCTAGCTTAAATCAAGAACCAAGCCTCTTTATTTAAGCGGATTTCGTTTTGACTCAAGCAAAAATTCGATTGAATCAAGAGTATTTTTTCTTGTCGATGTTTTCAAGAGTCTGGACTCTAGATCCAATGTGTTTTTTTTTCCAGTGCACCGAATAATTTTTCCAACGATGGATGTTATAATGCTCGGATTTGACTTTATTTACACCGTAAATTTTCTGTAGATAACAGGTTTCTGAGTTTTGATTTGATTTTTGTTGCAGGTTCCTTGGAGGCCGAAGAGCTATCGGAAGACAGCACCCAGATCAAAGAGGAGAGCCCAGTCGAAGAATTCCGGCTGAAAACAGAAGTTGTCCGCGAGAGCCCGCCACCCGGCCGGGCGGAGGAGGAGGAAGCCAGCAGCAGCAGCGTCAGCATGTTCCCTGTAGATCCCTCTCAAAACAAGATCAGCTACCGCGGGATCTTCACCGCCACAAGCTCAGCCTCGATGGAGCCCTCGAGTTCCCTCAGCACGAATCCCTCATCTTCTGGCATCAACCACTGGATCCTGCCCAGCCCAGACAAGAACCTCTTCACGCCCATATTCGGCATCCTGCAGCCCCAGCAGCCGCCCACGCATCAACAGCAGCATCAGCAACAGCAACAACAGCAGCAGCAACAGCAGCAGCAGCAACCGGTCTACGCGTCGCCGAGCCCCCACTACGACGACAGGCACCACGTCGAGTTGCTAGGCTTGAGTATAGATTGCGGGAACCCAGCCTTGAAACAGCCGCACTACTCCGGCTGCGAGGACCTTTACCAGAGGGTGTCGCAGCCGCCCCAGCCGACGGCCAAGTACCAGTGGTTAGACACATCGGTAGACTACGCCACCGGCTCCAGCGTCGGACCCAGCACTAGCGGGCTGGTGCCGAAGCAAGAGCCGGTCTTCTCCAGCAACCCGGTGGCCTGCAGCTCCTCGGTGGGCGAGGTGCAGTTGGCCGAGTACAACCCTCTGACGAGCAAGGGGCACGAGATCCTGTCGCAGGTGTATCAGCAGTCCTCGCTGCCGCTCAAGCTGGTGCCGGTCAAGCCTCGGAAGTACCCGAACCGGCCGAGCAAGACGCCGGTCCACCAGCGGCCGCACGGCTGCCCCGTCGAGAACTGTGATAGGCGGTTTTCCCGCTCGGACGAACTCACCCGGCACATCCGGATCCACACCGGGCAAAAGCCCTTCCAGTGTCGGATATGCATGCGCTCCTTCTCGCGCTCGGACCACCTCACGACGCACATCCGAACGCACACCGGGGAGAAGCCCTTCTCCTGCGACACTTGCGGGCGGAAGTTCGCCCGGAGCGACGAGAAGAAGCGGCACGCCAAGGTCCACCTCAAGCAGCGGGGGAAGAAGGAGTCCAAGATGGCGGCCATGCTCAACCAGCAGCAGCAGCAGCAGCACGGCCACCACAGCCACCACCATCCGCATCACCCGCCCGCCATGCCGCCGGTCGCCGTCACCACTTCGTTATGAGAGTCCGGCGCCGCCGCTCGCTGTTCTTTCGTTCTATCTGTGATTCCGTTTACTCTGCTCACCCTCGACTGCAGGACCGCAGCTAGTTGAAATGATCTCGTACGACCCTCCACTTGCCCCGCGCCTGCCCCTCCGTCGCGTTAGCCCTCGACGCACTACCTTTCCTCCCGGAGGCTCTCTCTTTGCCGCCCATGCTCCTACAATGCATCGAAACCGACCTTCTGTCTAAATGGCGTGATTTGGGGGTTTTCTTATCAAACCTAACAGGAGTTACATTCGGATACGCACGGAGAAAAAAACTTCGTGCGTGGGACCCAAAGTTTAGGTCATATGGATCTCTGAAGTTTTCGGATTGAGCATCCGAACACTTAAGGTCCAGCTGCTGAGGTTTAGATCACACATCTGAAACTTCGGTTCTCACATCTGAAGTGCTTCAGATGTAAGAACTGAAGTTTCATATGTGTGATCAGAACCTCGACAGCTAGACCCTTAAGTGTTCAGATGCTCAATCTGAAAACTTCAGAGATCCATATGACCTAAACTTCAGGTCTCACGCACGAAGTTTTTTTTCTCCGTGCGGGGGTAAAAGGAGCAGCTGCCTTCCTCAATTTAAAATATTTAAAGATCGCCTACAGCGGCGATCCGTGAATGATCGATTATCGATATTGCCCTACTTGAAGCTATGGTGAAGGATCGATTATCAAGGTGTTCGTTGCGAATACCCTAATTATCGATAATTTTCCATGGGATTGAATGGCAGATCAATCGATACATCGCGAAGTTCGCCACGCCACTGATTGCCTCTTCCTCTGTTGTATTCAACCAAAATGCTGTGATTCAATCATTCAGCGATACATTCCCTTACATCTTCACTTGGTGCATCAATCGTTACAAAACTTGCGTTAAAAAGAAAGACCAAAATAATTCTCTACTTATTCAATTCGCCCCTTATTCGAATCATCATAACCCCAAATTACGCCATCCTTCCGCTAAGTGCTGTCCACTCAAAAGTTGAAGAATGTGTATTCTCATCAATTTTTACTTCCTTGTTTTTCTTACTTCTCAGTTTTGGTTTATTTCCTCTCTCCGCACACGAAATACAGGTATAATCCATGATCTGACCGTAAGCGTTTACGGCAACTAACAAATATGACTTGCCTTTAAAACTGGTGAGTTTAGCAATTTATAATTTAGTGAAATTTACCATTTAAACTGTTGAGGTCACCAGTTTTATAGCAAAGTTTGCTGGTTTTTTTCTCTTTTTTTTTTTAAAGATCGACACTTTTCTTTTGGTGGTAAATGTATTTATCATTTGCGTGTAAGAGAGGAAGGCAAGGATGATGTTAAGACCAAGGATCGCGCATTGGTCGTAACGCCGCGTGGGTAATTATGCTGGTTGCCAATTTACGGGAATATTTTCTTCTATTTTTCCCGACAAAATGAAACGTATGAAGATAACATCGCACGATTTGGCAGCCCTTTGGTGCGAGGGAGCCGTTCAAATATTGCAACTTCTATGCATGTGTATTGTATTGATCTCAAAATAAATGTCTATTAAGCTTTTAGATATTTCATGTCAGAACTAGACACGGCTGAAGATTTGAAAAATGTAATTTTTCGCGCCAAAAACCGTTTCATTCATCTTCAAGGATCAATAGAACCGTACAAACATTTCATTGTGTGACACATCACCGTGCGCGACATCTTACCGTGGACACCTCTGAACCACCTAAATTTTTTGAATATACTTTTGGCTTAATGTTGCTCTGATTTAGAGCTAAAATTTCAAGATGTTGCAAAATACGTGAGCTTCATGTTTTCATTCTACTATCACCACTTCATGCTAAAAAGTTACCTGTAATAAAAAGCTGTATTCGTCTACGGTAAAATGTCTCGTGAGAGGTGATGTCACTTCAAAATAAGTGTAGGAAAGCTGGATCCATCATAAAATGAGGCGCATTTGGAGGAAACTAACAGTATTGACAAATTCAACCCCTCAAGCAATACCTGTTGAGTTTGGAAATTTTTTAACAACGCGTTAGAGTGAACGTTTTCTAATTTTTACACAAATCTAATTTATTTATCTCTTCGAATTTTTTGAGTCTAGTCAATTTTATATAATATGAATAAGCTACTACTGAAACTAATCAAAACTTTATTTTCAATATATTAGTAAATGTGCCCGGTCGCTTCTCATTTCAGTGGCAAGTCTTCAAAAAAGTGAGCGAAATTTGCACGCCCAGTAAATGAAAGCTGCGATACTTGTTTTACATCTATTTACTTGAAATTTGCACTCAGTGAGCCTTCAATGACTACGATCTATGAATAGGATCTTGGTTACTGAAGGATGTAGTCCTTTGAGACTATTCATAGGTGTTGAAACAAATCAAGCTTTCCAGTGGAACTATATTTCGATTTGTTGTTCTGAGAATTGTTGGGTTTTTCGTTCTTTATTTCTTTCATTTTCCTGTGTGTATACTTCTATTCTAGATATTTTTTGTGACATTATCATGCCAAACTGTACATGTTTAAGTTGCCAGAATTTTGGTGCCATTCTTGCATTCAATGTTTGTCAAAGGTTCTCAACATTTTGACTCTTGATGGTAAGAGCTTATGTTAACATACGGGGACGAAGTTCCATGGGTTGCCAGTCTCCGGAGTAGTTTTTTAGTCAAAGAACGAGTAACTCTACTTCCAACGTTCAAGTACCCGCATTAATTTTTTTTATTAAATTATTTTTAGAAATTAATAGAAAAAAAAAACATTAACCTTCGAAATTTTCTCTAAGTATTAGTATCATAAAATTGCGACTATAAACGAAGGCAAATCCAAAAAGTCAGGAATGTTGTGATGGAAATTGTAGTTACTTGTTTTCGACTTAAACCATTGAGATGTTTGGTTCAGGATTCGGAAAATATTTTCTTTACGTATAGTTATCGATGGATAAATTGCTCGAGATATTTTATCTTTCAGTAAAAACCTCCTCAAACGAGAGCTATCTATTCTGGCGATTCTTGGAATGAATTCTTACCATATCTACTTGAAGTTAACAAATTATAATTTTGTACATAAATCCTGTTGTGAAACTAGTTTTCAGAATTAGGGCGAATTTTTTGCAACATTCCAATGACTAGTTAAATTTTCTTGTTTTATTCTTCTTTTATTTATTTATGTTTAAAAACTGCACATTTTTAACCAATGCTATAATGAGAATTCCATGACTTTCTCTGGGCACTACATGCTGAAGAGCCTCTCCCACTGGCTGCTCTTTAAGGGAGATTCTAAATCAATCCATAGATTTAAGATGTGGCTGGTCTTATTTGACGAAATAAATAGCAACAATCGTTCTTGCAATGCTTCATCAAACTCCGACGTAGAGTTTCCTCTTTCCTCCAGAGCCACTAGGTACGGCTAAACAGTGGGGACAATTATTTCAAGTTGATTACACTTATTGTTAGTTTCGTTCATTTAAATGTATATAAAACAATCTACATGTCTCGCGGCAGATTGCCTCACCTACATTCGATTATTTCAATGGATTTCGATGGAAAAAAGTGTGTTTCGGCTTGCAATAATAGCTACTGCATATGACAGTCACCCGCTAGGTTTGACAAAGCTTTCCAAATTCTCTCCCAAAATGATATAATCTGGGGTCTTTCCCCGTCCTCTCTGAGCAAAAAAATGTATTAACCTTGCCAAAATAATTTCTCTTGCTGTATGTGTGATATTACTCATTTTACCATGTAAACTAACAGAGTATAAAACACGACCATGAACAAATGCACTCTCAGTGTTCAATGTTTACTCTTTCAAATAATTATTTTTCTTCTTTTTCAATTCGTGAAATAAGGATACGTAAGTGCTACTTCTGAAAAATGTACTAGAATAGGCATTGTTTTACGCGTCTGTGCGTCAACAAAATGATATAACACTTGCGGTCAATGTTTTGAGAGCAAAAATAAAGGGGAAAAAGAAACCTCTGTAAAAGTAGTGAGGTCTGCTGTTGTTTGGTAATGAAAATGAAACACTGTACCAACCGGTTTTAAATTTGAAATTTCCTTGCTATTGCAACTTTTTTTTTTTTTTTTTGAGAGTACGACGAAATTACCCTGCAGTTTGGGGGAAATCGGAATTCCGCGCAGCATGATAGCACTTTTCATTTTTATCATTGGACATAATACTGTTTAAATGCAACTCCGGAAAAAATGTCATATCAATTACATCACCCTTTCAAAGCTAAAAATGACAAGCAATTTTTTACTGCTCTCTTATTATGTAAATATGTTGTACGACAGTTCCTATTTGTACATTTACTCTCAAGCTATTCCGGCACTTCCTGAAAGTCATTTCATTGATCCCAGGAATTTTCTTCGGATTTACAAGCATGCATACTTTTGCGGTTGCAAGTTCTGATGCATATTTTGTCTGGAGACGTTTGAAAGAGGAAGAGAAAAATATCTTGCTTTAAAATTTGTATCTCGGTGGAGCCTTCCATTCGTGGACAGATATTGCAGAAATTAGAGACAAGTAGTTGAAATTATGACCCTTAAAATAGATACTGAACTAACGGCCAGGATAACAGCGTTGTCCAGTGTGAGTCTAGGGATGAAAATAACTGCAACCACAAATGCGAAGGGGGTGAAATATGCGGCGATGAACGCCATAGAGGCTGATTTCCATGACGATACCCGTCACATGTATGTCCGCAGTTTCATTCCCTTATGAGTCAACACTTTCCCACTTCAGTTGTGCAAAGAGGTTCTTCCTCCCTTCGATTAAGAAGCAAAAACAATGTAATAATGAAAGTGAAAATGAAAAGGTAGAAACTCTTCAAAAACAAATATGCTGAACCATTAGTTATGACTTGGTGCTCTAGCAACGGTATTTTGTTTTGCCGGCGTTCATGGTGTATACTTTAAAAGTGAAAAAGTTGTTATTATAATATTAACTATTGACCCTCTCTTAACCTCCGGCCTACTAAAAGTAGGTCGTCGATAACCTAACTTAATATCTAATTCCTTATCTAAATCTAATATTAACTCGAGTAAAATAAAGATACACTTTGTGAATAAATTTACCCGTAGAATGGCAAATGATCAATTCTGACAGTCATCCTAAACTAAGTTTAAAAAGTAAAAAAAAATAATAAAATAAAAAAACTGGTTAAGGGTGTACGAGTAAAAAGAGGGTTGACTATGTATTCATTGGGCGCATACATTTCCCTGCTTTCAAATGAAGCCCTTTCATGGCCTGATTGCTTTAGTTAAACATATGTAACATTAAGTAACTCTTTGTTA